ACCATCCATTTTTATATGTGGGACATAGGCTACTATTTTTTTTTTTTTTTTGGCAAGGGGAGCATACTCAGTGATGCTCAGGGGTTTTACTCCTGGCTCTGGACTCAGGTATCATTCCAGTTGTGCTTTGGGAACCATAGTGGATGCTGGATTGAACCCAGGTTGGCTGTGGAAGGTGAGCACCCTCTGTATTATCACTTCAGCCCAAGATAGGCTAGCTTTTTATTGTATTAAAACAAATAAAATTAATGCAGAAGTAAACAGACACAGCTTGTAGTGAAGTATCTTAGGAATTTGAGTTTTGTCATGACATATTAGTATTTTTGCTTTACCAACAGCAGCTCAGAAAAAGCTACTGGAGACTTGTGAAAATGGATTTGAAATAAGACTTTGCTTGCCAAGTCAAATTGCATATTGTTGTGTGTCTTCATGATCCAGGTTTACTTGCTAACATTTTCTTTGTGTTGTGGATTAATTGTGGCTCTGGATTCATTGTCACTTTCTCTATCAAGATTAATTTCACCTGTCCTAGAATCTCAGCTGGCGCTATGATTGCTTAACCAATAGGATGTAGTGTAAATTATCTGAATAGCTTCCAGCTCCAGTCCAGAGCGAGCCGTGCAGCTTGAGTTCCTTCCCTTTGGGGATGCTTCTCAGAGCCCAGCCTCGTGCTGTGAATCCGAGCCACATGGAGAGCACATGTTGATGCTCCTTCCAGCAGCCCCGGAAGAGCTCCCAGATGACATCTGGTCTGAAGCATCCCCGTGTGGGAACCATCTTGAATGTTTCAGCCCAGTTGCCCCTCCAGCTGGTTTTAGCACCTGCCGACATCCAATGGAGCAGAGGAACCACTGAGCTGAACCCTGTAGATTACTGAGACATAATACAGTCGTTGCTTAAAGCTATCTCTAGGTGGTTTATTTCACAGTAATGCAGAACTAAAAAGCTTCCCAAAGGAAACCTGTGGACCAGGACTGTGAAAGAGCTCTTTCAGTTTTAGCTATAGTAGGTAAGAACCTTAAGGGTGACAGGCAGGGGCCTTAGGAAAAGGATGGAAGGTTCTTGGCATACTGGCGGTGAGTCAGCATGAGTAATAGCACTGCAAAAGTAAAATGATAATACTGATACAATTATAAAATAAATAATAAATGTAGTATTTATGGCCTATATTTTAATCCCCATGTCTCCTAAAGATTTTTAGGCCAATTTTTAGAAATCTCTTATTTAGGAAATTACGTCTGTTAAGTTTGTTTACCCGTTACATTAAGACTTTCTCATCACTACACTTTCTGGTTCGCTTAGCCGCCTTATTCCTGTCCCGTGTGCCAGGGTCACTTTTGGCAAGTGCTTGAGGAACCATAAGTGCTGTTGAGGATCAACCTGGGGTTGGCTGTTGTGGGAGAAATGCGCATCTTAGCTCCTGTACTTCGGTGCTCAGGTTCCTACATCTTTAGGTGCATTGTTTTCATTCCGAACAGAAGCATTTTTGTTTTGGAGTTTTGTTTTTCAGCGAAATCGCGTATTAGAATTGTTAAAGACTTCATCCTATCACATAACCGGCCTGGGTCCATGGCTTAGTTACTGTTGCCGGGATCTGTTTCTTTGTTTTCAGAATAGTATGTATGGTATAGTACTGGTGAGATCAGAAATTACATATGGCAGGAACTGGTAGAGTCGACTGAACTCTGAGAGGAGCCCAACGTGGAACTTGTTTTATGAAGAAGGTAGTCAGGTATTTATGAAAGCATGGCAAAAATGTATCTTTGCTAAATTTTAGAGGGCATGGACATATTGCTGAGCTTTGGGGGGGCAAGCCTAAAGGGTTAAATAACATTCTTGTAACTTTTCCCGTGAACAGGCGTTTATACTACCCTTCCACATTTTATTATTATAAGAGGATTTGATAAGGGGATAAAAGCAACTTCTGGGTACCAGTCCCCGGGGTAGAACTAATAGAAAATTTCATTTATTCTTGCCTCCTGTTCTGCTCCCCTTTTATCAATTACCTCCACCTTCAAATTTGATGGGAAACAACTTTATAGGAGTCTGGCTCTCTGCAGACTGACCTTAGTTGAAGGTTCTATAAGGTTCATAGAATCCAATTCCAGAGAGGACACATACACGGCAAGTCTAATTTGAGTAGTCCAGGGGCAAAGACAACTGTAGCAGCCCACAGGATTTCTCTGATGTTTTGCCTCAGCCTTACATGTTATGTTCTTAGCCTTTGCAAGTGCCTGGAGTCTATTAGGGCAAATAGAATAATAACCAGCAATTTCTTTGTCTGCCAAAGACATTCTTAATACTGGTGAGGTGAATAGTTGTTACTGGTGCAGATTCCCATTTTCCGAGCTATGGTTACTAGCTGATTTCCTCACTGGGCTTCCTAAACCCTAATTTGATCCTGAAATTTGTATGACCTTGGTGGTGGATGAAATGCTAATATATTGCAGTTGAGCATAATATTGGATTGGGGCCAAACTGAAGAGTCAAATGCCATGTATTTAAACTGGGTGACCTTTGAAGAAATTATAAATGATCCTGATTGTGTGTAAGAGTTACTTGCTTACTATTTTTTGAATATGTACATTAATACTATAATTAAAATTTTCAGACCTCTCAGTTTTAAGACTGTGAAAGGTTCAATTATGAATTTTCCGCAATACAAGATTTGACATTTATTGCCCTAATCCTTAATTTCATTTTACGACTACAAAATGAAATAGTTAAAGCTAGAATGTAGGTATAAGGATTATTTAAAAACATTGGTTCTGAGCATGCAAGTGCAGATTATATAAAGGTGAATATAAAGATTACTCATTTTTCTCATAAGCTTGTCTGAGTAGCAATTAGAATTACACACACAAAAAAAGGTTGAGGTATTTGCTGTTGTTAGTTATAGGTCTGCAAATGTATTTTAAGAGAGTGATTCCCTTTTACATCATTTATAATTGTGAAGTCATTTCACTTTGAACGAAATGTTGATACTCTGATCATGCCCACTTAAAGCTTAAAAATATTTTAAAGCGATAAAAACATTGTGGATCAAAATAGAATGTGCTTAGAGCATATTTTTTTTTCAGGACTTGAACTCTGATTTTCATAATTTTCTGGGATGCATATGATGATATGCAGTTTTTTTTTTAATAAAAAAGGCATTGTCAAGAGTCTGGCTTACATAGGTGAGCAAGATGTTTTATGGACTCCCTCCGGGTGTCACAGTACAGCATGGACTCATGGGCCAGCTGTATGTAGTGTGGGCACGGAGCTGGAGGGTCAGGGCCCTTCTCTGTAGAGGACACGGCGTGCCTTCCAGTATGTAAAGGACTACTGTTGCAAACGGGAGGGAAAGTCGGGCACAGAAACAATTCGTCAGGTAAAGCCACCCAAACCTAATTCAGTGGGCAGGCACTTGCAGAAAACTCCCTGTCAGTCATACATGCAGTGCAGCAAGAAGTGAGGATGAGCGGTCCTTATTCCAGCGCCTGGGGAATCCAGCTCACCGCAGCGGTACCGAGTCACCATCAAGGCTCCTTTCAAGACGAAAAAGTGTCAGCTTTGTGCCCTTGCTGCAAGTGTGTCTCATTAGCTTGACCTTAGTCTAGGGCAACTGTGGGTGGGACAAGGAAACGACCCTTTAAAAGGGGCCTGAGTGGGGCTCTCAGGAGCTCCCTCGGCTCCCCAGCAAGCCCCCACCCCCTTCTGCCTCCAGCACCTGCTCAGCCCTGGGCGCTGGGCATCAGGAACTGCATGCAGTGTTGTCCCTGGTTTGGAAAGGAAGAAAAAAAATGTTCTGACTGTTGGTTGAAAATCAGGTAACAGTTCAGTGGGTGAGCGAAACTTCATTCTAAGAGGGCCGGGGAAGGAATGCTGTCTCCCAGCAGCAGGCAGGAGAAATTGCTGCTGAAAAGCTCACCTCTCCAGGGAGGAATCAGATATCAGACTTCGCCAAGCCCCAGGTCCAACCCTGAAGGTCCCACCTACCTCGCCCCCACCCAGCCCAGCTTTGTTCCATTGCAAGCTTGCCTCAATCAAGCCCGGGCTTTCTCGAACCCATCCGGGGCTGAAGGAGAAAGAGAGCGGGGAGGAAGGCTGCAAACAGGGTGGGGGAAGGAGGAGGGGGGATTGCTAGAGACACCAGAGGCAAGGAAGGAAGGGGGGTGGGGGCCAGAGGACTAAGCTTAAGCGGTGCTGCCTGCTTCCCTTTGATTTGATGGCCTTTATTCCTCCTAATTGGATCACATAGGAAGTCTCTGGCGGCCCTGGGTTTCTGGGATGCTGATTTTCCCCAGACCGGCAGCAGCAGCGGCTATAGAGTGGGGCTAGAGGGTGGGGAAAGGGGAGGAAGAGAGCAGCAAGAGAGAGAAAGAAAGAAAGAAAGAACGAGAAGGAAGGGAGAAGAGGAGGGCGCAGGAAAAAGAAGAAGAAGAAGAAACAGCAGCAGCAGCAGAAGAAGAGAGCGTGGGAGAAGGAGGCAGGAGAGCAAGAGTCTCGGGATTGGAGGGGCAAGAAAGAGAAAGAGTCTGCGGAGCAGCGCCGCTGAGGGAGAAAGTGAATGAGCGCCCCAGAAGGACAAAGAGGAGTGGTTGGGGTGGGGGCGGCGGCGGGGAGGGGCCGCGCGCCTCCCTCCTCCCGCGCGGGTCCTGCGCGCGGTGATGCTGATGCTGATGCTGGGCGGGCAGGCACCTGCTGCTCTGTCATGATTCAGCTTTCGGCCGCCGCGCCACGACCACAGGATGCTGTTGCTACTGGCGCTGCTGCCTCTCCTGCCGCCGCCGCTGCTGCCGCCGCCGCCGCCGCCGCTGCTCCTGTTCTTGCTTTTACTTCTCCTGCATGACAGTTGTTTCCTCCATCTGGGCCGACAGCAGCTCCCGATGCTGGAGGTGAGGAACATGCCTTTCAGTTTGGGCTACTGGTTTACTTAATCCACCTCTGCGCTCTGCTCCCGTCTCGTCTCGTCTCTTTCTCTCTCTGTCTGTCTCTTTTTTTTTTTTGTTTGTTTGTTTTGGTTTTTGGCCACCCATCCCCTGGACCTTCCGGGATGGTCTGGAGAAGAAGCCTTTAAAAGAACTGCCAAAGTGGTCCAGGCGCAGCAGGAAAAGAATTACCAGGTGACTTTGATTTGCTAGTTGCTAGAAGCTTTTCCCACCCACCCCCACCCACGGCCTTTTCTCCCGAACTCCTCTTGCTCTGGATAATGGCCTTGGACTTGGAGGACTTATCGATTTCCCCCTGTAAGATGCTGTCTCATTGGCTTGGGGGGGGCTTTGCATGGTAATGGACCGCGAGAGAGCCCAGGCCTTCTGGAGGTGAGCCGATGGAGATTTATTCCCCAGACATGTCCGAGGTCACTGCCGAGAGGTCCTCCAGCCCCTCCACCCAGCTGAGTACAGACCCATCTCTCGATGGGCTTCCGGCAGCAGAAGACATGCCCGGGACCCAGACTGACGACGGGAGAAGCCCGGGGCTCCTGGGCCTGGCGGCTCCCTGCTGTGTGTGCCTGGAAGCCGAGCGCCTGAGGGGTTGCCTCAACTCAGAGAAAATCTGCATTGTCCCCATTCTGGCCTGCCTGGTGAGCCTCTGCCTCTGCATTGCTGGCCTCAAGTGGGTCTTTGTGGACAAGATATTCGAATATGACTCTCCAACTCACCTGGACCCCGGGGGGTTAGGCCAGGACCCTATTATTCCGCCCGACCCGACGGCAGCCTCAGCTGTGTGGGTACCATCTGAGGCACACACTTCACCTGTCTCTAGGGCGCAGTCTGAAACGGAGGTTCAAGTTACAGTGCAAGTTGACAATGCTGTCGTGGCCTCCGGGCCGCCCGCAGGGCCCACCCTGAAGAATCGAGCTTTTGCGTTTTCTTTCCTGCCTTCCACTGCACCAGCCTTCCTTTCACCCACACGGAACCCTGAGATGAAAACACCCAAGTCAGCAACTCAGTCACACACCACAGAAACCAATCTCCAAACTGCTCCTAAACTTTGTAAGTAGAGAGTGAGCCGATGCTGAGTGAGGAGAAGAAGGGGTGGGGGGTTGCTCCAGGTCTGACGAGGCAGCGGCCGCCCTCTCGGCTGGCAGTTTCAGTGCATGGGTCTGTGTCAGCACCTTCAGCGAGACTGGGGTGCTCAGGGTGGCAGAGAATAGGAGGATCCTGCAAACTTCTGGCAGAAACCAGTACCCTAAAACAGCAGTTTCCTCCAGCTGGTGAATCCTGAGTGGGGATACCCAAAACGTCAGCCTCTGCTAGTCCTGCTGAAATCGAAGTGAATTCAGCTTATTTCAGACACTTTAAAAAAGTAAGACATTAACCCGTTATGTGTCAATGTGACCTCCTTAGAGCAAGGAGGGTTTGTGTCCTCTCTTTACCCGCCCTCCCCCATCCCCCCTGTAAATGGTCTCTTGTTTCCTTGACTTCCCTTCTGACCCTCTCCCTCTCTACAGCCCTAGGCTCCTTGTTGTCTTGTCCCATCTCTTCCAGATTCCCAAGCCCCCCCTTCATGCCCCCCACATTTGTACTTCGTTGGTTCTTTTGATCTTCATCAAGTCTTTGCACATCACCTGTGCTCATTTTCCATCAGTGCTACACTCTCGCCGTCTTGTCTAATTGTGCTTCTGGGTCCTGAGCATTTAGGAAGGACAGTTTTTATGTTGCTCAGGACACAGTGGAATTCTGCATGAAAGGATTTCTCCCGCTTAATCTTGTCTGCTATAGTCAAGTGCTTCAAGAGCTTCTTGGGCACTCATTAAAGAGTACAAGTCCAGCAGTAAGGTACATTGTTTTTTCAGGCACATGTCATTTTTGCCCATCAGACTGCAGCACTGAGCACCCGAGTTGAATAACGTGTGAGTGAGGAGAGCTCGTGCTCTTGAAACAAGACAGATTGGCAGGGTACTGTGTGTCCTGGGTCATCATAATAGACAGTGGACAAGGATGAAACCATGACTGGTCAGATTGCTCTCAAAAGATTTTTGTAACTTCAAGAAAATATTACTTATTTAGATCTGTTCTCCTCTCACTTTTTACCAGGTATGAGTATGGCATTAGTGGAAAACGAAAAGATTTTGGTCTTCAATAACACGAGTAAAATTTATTAAAGGAGATCTGGGGGTTAAGAATTCTGTGTGATGAAATACCCCTTCTAGTTTTCCCTTTAGGTAGTGAAGAATAAAGACGATCTTTTCCAGATATTATGGCCAGGATGAGATAAAGCTGTGTGTTGTAGAGAAACTTGATTTGTGCTTGTGATTAGAGATTATTTTATACACCCCTGATTTAGCAGCAAAGATTTTTTTTTAAAGAGGCTTGTTTTTCAGGTGTAATTAGGAAGAACCTTCTTTCTGCAGACACTGCTTCGTAGCTCTGTTAAATCCCTGAAGCATCATTAAAGGTCTGACAGACATCACTGCATTTGCTGCCTCTTCCCACCTGGCAAAGTGACCGGGAAATAATACCCAGATGAAATGACAGGCTATAAAAAGCAAGTGTGGATCCTGCAAAGAGAAGCAGAATTTACCGGGAAGGCAAGGTTACTTATTGGTCTTTCTCACTTTAAATTTGTCTTGACTTAAAAATGTGCCCAAGCAGGTTTAATTGTGCAGAAACAAAAGGGGGACCTTTTGCAAAACTCTTCAATTAGATTTTTCAGATTTTCATCTAAAAAAAAAAACAGACAAAGAAACAGGAAAACCTTTTCGTGTCTTAGGACCACGTCAGAAAGTATCTTGTGACATTTTGAGAGTTTATTTTGGTAGTAAAAATTTCTACTAAGTGTTTTAATAGATTATACATTCCATATAGTTTTTTTTTTCCTCCATTCTTTTTTTACCAAGCCAGGCATTGATTTTTGTGGCATTTGCATTGAGTGGAAAAGATTTACTGCTGCCTAAAAGCATCACTAGTGGCCAGTGCTGGCCAGACACACAGCTGCAGCTTCTCAAGTACGTTGGAGATAAGCCTGGAAAAGCAGTCTGGGAAGTAGTTTTCCCCAGAAAAGTTAGGGATAGACAGTTGGTTAACACTTTGCAGTTGATAGTATTTTCTGTGTGGGAAACTGTTAATTTTGGAAATGAATTGGTCCAATGTGCCTTGTTTTCAGACACTTATAATTGGCTGTTTGGATTGTTTAAAAAAGCTTGTCACCATTGAATAAAGGAAAGCAGGAAATAAGTGAAACCTCGAAGTAGATTGTAATTCCATAGTTTCTTTATACGTCCCCCTTCAGCCAGCAAAGTATTGACTAATCAGAGAGAATCAGAGCTCCTTTCATTATGTGTATTTTTGGTTTTGGACATGAAGTCGGCTGTCAAGACTTGCATTATAGAATGACATTATCATATCTGAAGCAGACTCTTCAGTGGTCGCGGGACTCCATCCTCTTTTTCAGTCTGTCTCAGCAGACTCAGCACATTATGCACAGTGCTGGACCCTTCAAGGTCAGAGTCTGTGGAGGGCTAATTGATTCTTCTTTATTCTGGAGCCTGGAGAGAGCAGGAGAGAGATGGTCCTAGTCACTGTGTCTGCGTTGATTCCCCAAACCCATCTGCTTACTAAATATTAGGCTTTTATTCAGTAAATACTAGAATTACTCCCTTGCTGACTCTTTATACATCATTCTTTGTCTTTATTAGAACAGGAGGCAAATGTAATGTTTTAAATTGCAGCAAAGTTTACTATGTCAGATTTTCCAGAATGGGTATTTATTTCATAAGATAATTGATTTTATGTGTACTCTATCAATCTAGGCATGCATATAGATCATAAAAAATCTAATACAAGATTTAAATTAAATATACATATGCATATAGCTATGTGGATTTCTGTATGTGGTTAGCAGTGGTTTCCTGTTACCAGTCATCATATTCCTATAATAATTATTGTCTTTTAGTTATTTTGTGAGGTTTCTTTTTCTTTTCTTTATTGTGGGAAGAGAACAAACCCAGGCCTCGCATATGGGAAATGTGCTCTATCACTGAATTGCACGTGTCCCCAGAATAGTTAAGCTTTTATTTTTCATTAAGTCAGTCACATACTATTTGACCCAATAGTTAAGCATGGCTTTTTTTTTTCCATTTTCATCAGGTAACATACTCTTTGAACCGTTCTTTCTTTGCCTTTTTTGGGTAACGTTTCTTTTATTTATATGGAAGCACTTACTCAGGTTGATTGCAAATTTACATTGCTGTAAAGAAGAACTGATTAATTAAACTGCAGCCAGGTCACCATCATGCTCTCTGGAAAGACAGTGTAGTTTTGAATGGGAGAGCCTGCTTGACAACATATGGGTGGGAACATAACTGTATTAGTATTTTCATCATAGACCAAATTTGTTTTGCTTTGTATTAGATCCTTGTTTGGGGTGGGCTGCAATGCAAACCATTGTTACCACAGTGACAACGTGAGTCATGACCATTTGCTAAAGCTCAACCTGATCAATTAAACGCACCACAGTATGTATTCCCTTCTGTCTAAAAATCACAGTCATGGCACACCAAGTAAGTTCCTCTAGTTGCTAACGATTCTGCTTGGAGTGATTACAGAATGGTGATTTCAGTTACCCTTTTGACATTTTGCCTACAACATTTCAAGCTACAAGGAAGAGATTCTCATTGTGGTGGGGAATGTGAGCTCTGAAAGACTTCATGAAATTCTTGAATTAAAATTTACAAAATACTGAAAGGTTTGGTAAAAACCCCAAAGAGTGGAAAACAGAATAGTGTCCCATTTCCCAAAATTAACCCGTCCATGCAGTGCAGTCTCTGCTGTCATCTTTTCTCTGCCTTAGAGATGCAGAACAGACTGTTTCCGGTGGTTTAAGTGACATTACTGACAAGGAAGAACTTTCAGTGGAACTCAGTCAAGTGTGCACCATGCAGACTCGGAAGAGTAAACGTTGCTCCTGCTTTCTTGTTTCCTCTAGACAGTGTTCATCTGGCTTTTGAAACAGCTTGTGTTTTCCAGGGTGAGTTCTTTTCCAACGTGTAGCAGATGGCTCCGTGGCTCACCTCTTTCAGGCACGTGATACATGGACTGTTTCTTCTTACTCCTTCATGACATACTCAGATCAAGTTCTCTTCCTTCCTCCACCAATTCCCATCCTTCAAATTGTTCTTGAGTCTTCCTTGCTTTTCTAATTATGCCTCCATTTTTTACTTTATGTGTCAGTATTTCATTGCAGTCTAAGAAATTAAAGTATCCTCATCCTTTCTTTCAAATACAGATTTTACTGTATTTGAATACTGAATAGCATTTATGTGTATTACAAAAGCTTCAAAAAAATCTAGACTGTGGACAATATACTGAATTATTACTGACAGATTCACTTCAAACTTCTGTCATATTTTTATCACCCCCTCCCACCTGTCCCATTGTATACCTTTTGTAAATTTCTCTGTTGACACTTTTTATGTGCTTGTAAAAATTAGCATTTCTGCATTCCTGGAAAAATTGTATCTTTCAGGGTGTCTGTCTTAATTTTTTTCCTTCCCATTTACTTTTTAGTAATACATGAGAGGATCTTTTTAAACCATGAAGAAAGAGATCGTTTGTAGGTTGAAAATCTGACACATAAAGAGATTACAACTTGTCGTGGGCCTGGAGAAATATTCCCAGGGGGTAGGAATTTGTCCTCCATGCAGCTGACCCCAGTTCGATACCCAGTAGTGCCTATGGTCCCCAAGAAGCATCAGAAGTGATCCCTAAAGGCAGAGCCAGGAATAATTCATGAGCACAACTGGGTGTGACTCTCTCTGTCTCTCTGTCTCTCTGTCTCTCTCTGTCTCTCTCTGTCTCTGTCTCTCTGTGTTTGTGTGTATTGTATGTACATATAATATGCACATACATATTCACAAGGATTTTTTGTTTTACTCTCAGAAATGTTATAATCTGCTGCTACAGTGTAGTTTTCAAGTTGAATAAACAGTTGAATTCATGTCATTCACATGAAAACTGTGGAAGTATGTAATAGTTCTGGGTCATGTGAAACA